TGAATGCTTTTTCCTACACCTATGGGGATTCGTGCGCATCCTAAGCATTTGTCGGCAAAAACGGCCGAATTCATGAGCGCCGAACTTTCCTTTGCGCACGAACCAAGTCGGAAAAGCGCCGATAGATGTATTTGAACATGAGCCACTCGAATATGCAATGATATTGAGGTTCTTGAATGCTTTTCCCTACACCTATGGGGATGCGTGCGCATCCTAAGCATTTGTCGGCAAAATCGGCCGGATTCATGTGCGCCGAACTTTTCTTTGCGCACGAACCAAGCCGAAAAGGCTCCGATAAGTGTATTTGAACATGTGCCACTCAAATATGCAATGATATTGAGGTTCTTGGTTGCCTTTCCCTACACCAATGGGGATTCGTGCACATCCTAAATATTTGTCGGCAAAGCGGCCGGATTCATGGGCGCCGAACTTTTCTTTGCGCACGAACCAAGCCGGAAAGGCTCCGATAGGTGTATTTGAACATGTGCCACTCCAATATGCAATGATATTGAGGTTCTTGAATGCTTTTCCCTACACCTATGTGTCGGAAAGTCTAGGCAGGAATCAGAAACAGTAAAAGGTGTTTGCACTAGCAGGCAGTTGAGTACATATAGCAAACCCTAATTTGGGCTATACTCGCTATAGAGTACCCCACTGCAGGCTAGACAAATATCACATTCTGACACACCCCCATAGTCAAATTGGGGGTATAACTAGCACAACAATCAGGCAAAGCAGTAGGTCACAATGATAAGCAAATCTAGTGGCTATCACAGAGGGCAAGTGAGGAGGAGGAGCGACTATGAGAGGAGTGGAGATAAAAAGCGACGGGTGAAGCCGCAGTCACACGGACAACAGGAGCGCGCGCACGGTGGCTACCGGAGCACTCAAGCTCCGGACTACAGGAGTAACTGGCTCCGCGCTAAGACGAGCAGCAGGAGCAACTGACCCACGGGCGACTGGCGCAGCAGGCTCACTGGGCTATCGGAGCACTCAACCTCCAGACTACTGGCGCTGCTGATGTCACAACGGCTACCTCCGGTCAACCTCCCCCTACTGTCCCAAACCCCTTTCACACACTCCCTGCTGTACCTCTAGCACGACTCACTCGCCACCCCCCTCGTACCACTCCGACGGCTCCAACACGTCCACCCCCCTCAGCGACAGCTGCAGCAGTAGGAGACGGAGGAGGAGGAGGAGCAGGGGACGGCGCACACACCCGTCACCCCCATACTCACCACCCCCACACTCGCCACCCCCAAACCCTAACCCAGGCAGGAGCGGGGGGCGGTGCGCGGGCAGCAGCTCGGGGGATGGCGCGCGGCTCCCCAGGGCGCCGCGACGAGGCAGCGGGGGGCAGCGCGCGGCTCCCCAAGGCGCTGCGACGGGGCAGCGGGGGGCCGCGCACGGCTCCCCAGGGCGTCGCGACGGGGCAGCAGGGGTCGCGCGCGGCTCCCCAGGGCGCCGCGATGGGGCAGCGGGGGCGACGCGCAGGCCTGCGGGGCGACGCGACGGGCTCCCGGGGGGCGACGCGACTGTTGACGGGGGGCGACGCGCGGGTTGACGGGGCAGAAAACCGCCGCGCGCCCCGAGCGCGCGCTGGGAAGAAAAAACGCCGCGCGCCCCGAGCGCGCGCTGGGAAGAAAAAACGCCGCGCGCCCTGAGCGGGCGGCAGGCAGGAAACATCGCGCGCCGAGGACGTGCGATAGGCAAGACAGCAGCTGAAGCATCGGGTGGGACCACCCACAGGATCGACCCAGGAGGGTCGACCTGCTCTGATAGCATATCGGAAAGTCTAGGCAGGAATCAGAAACAGGAAAAGGTGTTTGCACTAGCAAGCAGTTGAGTACATATAGCAAACCTTAATTTGGGCTATAGAGTACCACACTGCAGGCTAGACAATGTGAGAGTAGTAGGTATAGTGAGGAGCCATAGCTAGGGTTTACCTAGCTAGGCAAGAGAGAGTTAGGCAAAAGAGAGGTTCACTAGCAGGAATGAGGATACAAATAGCAAACCCTAGAAGGGTTGTACTCGCTATAGAGCACCCCACTACAGGCTAGAGCATAACATTCTGACACACCCCCATAGCCAAAGTGGGGTGTAATCAGCACAGCAAGCAAAGCAGAACAAGCTCAGGGTGGATCACAATGTCACCACACATTCTTAGCACAGGTTCAAGAAGCAACAGTTTAAAGTTCACAAATGTAAGCAAAGCTAGAGGCTATCGCAGAGGGCAAGTGAGGAGGAGGAGGCGAGACTGTAAGAGGAGAGGAGATAGGAGGCGACGACTGAAGCTGCAGACACACGGGCAACAGGAGGCACACTGGCACAGCGGCTACCGGAACAGCGCTCCGGACTACTGGAGTAACTGGCCCCGCGGCTAAAAGTAGCGGCAGACGAGCAACGGACCCACGGGCGACTGGCACAGGTGGCTGCGACTGGGCTACCGGAGCAACTCCACGGACTACAGGTGCTGCTGGCGACACGACGGCAACCTCCGTGCAACCTCCCCAAACAGTCCCACCCCCCCCTGACACACACCCCCTGCTAAAACCCTAGCTCCATTCCCATAGCACCCCCCTAGCACCACTCCTTCGGCTCCCACACACCCACCCCCCTCAGCGGCAGCTGCAGTAGTGGGAGACGGAGGAGGAGGAGGAGCAGGTGACGGCTCACACACCCGCCACCCCCATACCCTGAGTGTGCGGTAAGCGACCTCAGGTGTGCGCGAATCGTGCACAAGTGTGCGGGAAGCGAATTCAGGTGTGCGGTAAGCAGACTCAGGTGTGTCGGGGAGGGGGGGGGGGGGGGCGGAGGGCGACGCGTGGGTCGACGGGGACGAGCGCACAGGTCCCCGGGGGCAGCGCGCGGGTCGACGGGGCCGCCGCGAAGGGCGACGGGGATCCGCGCGCGGGTTGACGGGGCCGCCGCGAAGGTCGACGGGGAGCCGCGGGCGGGTCGACGGGGCCGCCGCGAAGGGCGACGGGGAGCCGCGGGCGGGTCGACGGGGCCGCCGCGAAGGGCGACGGGGAGCCGCGCAAAGGTCCACGGGGACGGGCGCGCGGGTTGACGGAAACCGCCACGCGTCCCGAGCGCATGGCAGGCAGAAAACCGCCACGCGCCCCGAGCGCGTGGCGGGAAGAAAAAATGTACATCGCACGTCACGGGGCGCGCGACAGACAGTAGGGCAGCGGAAGCAGGCGGGCCCACAGGCCAGGAGCGACACTGCTCTGATAGCATGTGATAGTAGTAGGTATAGTGAGGAGCCATAGCTAGGGTTTACCTAGCTAGGCAAGAGAGAGTTAGGCAAAAGAGAGGTTCACTAGCAGGAATGAGGATACAAATAGCAAACCCTAGAAGGGTTGTACTCGCTATAGAGCACCCCACTACAGGCTAGAGCATAACATTCTGACAAACAAATATCACATTCTGACACTATGGGGATTCGTGTGCATCCGAAGCATTTGTCGGCAAAAAACGGCCGGATTCATGAGCGCCGAACTTTTGTTTGCGCACGAACCAAGCCGGAAAGGCTCCTATAGGTCTATTAAAACATGTGCCACTCGAATTTGCAATGATATTGAGGTTCTTGATTGCTTTTCCTTACACCTATGGGGATTCGTGCACATCCTAAGCATTTGTCGGCAAAAATGGCCGGATTCATGGGCGCCGAACTTTTTTTTGCGCACGAACCAAGCCCGAAAGGCTCCGATAGGTGTATTTGAACATGAGCCACTCAAATATGCAATCATATTGAGGTTCTTGATTGCTTTTCCCTACACCTATGGGGATTCGTGCGCATCATAAACGTTTGTCGGCAAAAACAGCCGAATTCATGGGCGCCGAACTTTTCTTTGTGCACGATCCGAGCCGGAAAGGCTTCGATAAATCTATTTGAACATGAGTCACTCGAATCTGCAATGATATTGGGGTTCTTGAATGCTTTTCCCTACACCTATGGGGATTCGTGCGCATCCTAAGCATTTGTCGGCAAAAACAGCCGAATTCGTGGGCGCCAATCTTTTCTTTGCGCACAAACTAAGCCGGAAAGGCTCCGATACGGTATGTGTATTTGAACATGAGCCACTCGAATATGCAATGATATTGAGGTTCTTGAATGCTTTTCCCTACACCTAGGGGGTTCGGGCGCATCCTAAGCATTTGTCGGCAAAAACAACCGAATTCATGGGCGCCGAACTTTTCTTTGCGCTGCGCACGAACCAAGCCGGAAAGGCTCCGATACAGTCAGGCAACACAGAGACAAATAGTAAAATGCAACACATTCTTCTTCAGTCTGGCAAGTTGCAGTCAACAACCCTACCACACCAAATAATTCTCTGAGAATCAAGCCAACCCAGCACATAATTTACAGGTGTTTCGTATCTGCAGCAGCAACTGCTGTCCCATTTCATGCCACGTGTGGGTAGTATTACCACCATGCGCGACGGGGACAGTAGTTGGGCTGCGCCATTACAATGTAACAGTTAGACCACTAAGCTTAGGATCCCTGTAGTAGCCTCCAGCTGAACCCACCCTCCCTAAACATCACCCTTCTTTGAGGCGCCTCAGAAGTGGTATCACCATCGTGTGGGACGGGGGCAATAGTTGTGCTGCGCCGTTACAATGTAACAGTTACTAGCACTAAGCTCAGCATCCCTGTAGCCTCTGGCATAACCCTAAACCACGGTATGGGCGGCGCAGCGCACCAGTTGTAGTAGCAGCATTTCCTCCTCTTGTAGCATCGCAAGCTCTAACGCCCCTTCCCTGCACTTCTCCCACTGCCACCATTCCCCTCACTAGCCAACGACCAGCGTATGGGGCGGATGGACCACAGCAGCTGCAGCAGCATTTCCTCCTGCTGTAGCTTCAGACCCTATCGCCCCATCCTCGCGCTTCCCCCAATTCCCCCACCATTCCCCTCACTAGCTAACGACCAGCGTATGGGGGGGGGTGGACCGCAGCAGCTGCAGCAGCATCTCCTCCTGCTGTAGCTTGCAATTCTACCGGCCCATCCTTGCACTTCCCCCGCTCCCAGAAGCACCTCCCTCACTAGCCAGGGACCAGCGTATGGGGGGGGTGGAGCGAAGCAGCTGTAGCAGCATTTCCTCCTGCTGTAGCTTTGCTTTCGACAAGGCTGGCCGTTTGGGCGACACAGGAGGACCAGTAGGGGGTTGAAACTGAGCAGTAGGAGACAAAAGAGGGCGAGGTGACTGGCTGTTGCTACTGCCGCTCGCTCCAATGCTGCTCCCCTCTCCCCCTTCTTCCCCCGCTCCCCCCTGCTCCGCTTCCCCTTCCGCCCACCCCTCCCCCATCTCCTCCTCCCCCCATTCTCCCCCTTTCCGGGAGACTACAGACAGAGACGTGGGCATAAACCGCCTGGCTCCCCCTCCGTTCCCCCCTCCGCTCCCCCCTTCCCCCCCTCCCGCCCCTTTCCCTCTCTCCCTTCTTTCCGCCACCGACATTCCCCTGTGGAATCTCGAGATGCCATCCTGGCCGTCCATTCCCTCCCACACGCGCGGACTCCCCATTCCCCCCGCAGACGCCGAACCTCCCCCCGGCCCCCCTGGTCCGCTCCCTCCAAAGCTTCCCCCCACTCCCCCCCTCGCTATAGCCCGCGCCATCTGCAACGGTCCTCCTCTAGTCCCCCCTATAGTCACATTCTTTAGAATCTCCTGTAACCGTTCGTGACTGCTCTTGGGGGGCGGTTTTCCCGCCCTTTTTCCGCCCTCCCCGCCCCCGCCCGCTTCCCCTCCGCCTTCCGCCTTCCCCCGTCCCCCTCTCCTTCCCCCTTCTCCCCTGCTGATGCTGCCGCTGCTGTAACTGTGACGGTTACGTTCCACCGCTACTGACCGACTTTTAGTTAAGCGCGGACCATACACATCCCCTGCTCTACCTCCCACGCCCCCGCCCCCGTCCCCGCTTCTTTCTAGTGACGTGGCAGGGACGGCTACTGACGTGGACGATGGAAAGAACGCCTCTGCTGACGTGGCGGCACGTGGCATGGACACGCTGGCGCGGTCATGGCGGAAAGCAATACTGTCTGTTCCCACTTCTCGAAAAATATTGGTATCTGATTGGATTTCCTCGTCAATATTTGATTCCTCGACCCCATGCCTCTCTGCCCCTTCTTTTCCGCGTTTCCCTCCCACCTCCTCCTCCGCACGTTCCCTTTCCGCGATTCCCCCTGCCGCCTTCCTCCCTGCCCCCTCTTCGCCTTCCCCTTCCAAATCGCGCCCCTCCCGAGAGGAAATTCCCCCCTCCTCCCGACTTCCCTCGCCCCCGCATGTTTCCCCCTCGGCGCAACTGCTGCTGGCTCCTGATTCGCTGTCACTCCGCATTCCCCGCCCGCACAGCAAGAACCCGCGGAGAGCTGCCGCCCCCCCCGCTTCCCTTCCTCCCCTCAACCCCCTCTCCTCCTCGTCTCCTTCCGCCTCCCCCACTGCAAGCGCGGAAGGCGGGGCGAGGCGGAACGAGAAGGGACCGGAGCCGCGAACCTCGTTTCTTGCAACATCTCCAGCTATAGTCACCCCATCTGCCCCCGCTTCTGCCCGTTCCCGCGCAATGACCCCTTCCCCCGACTCTGCCACCGGCGCTGCCCCCCCCTCCCCCGTTCCCCGCGCAACGGCGGAGTCTTTGCTGCGCGGAACCGCATTCTCGGGAGAGCGGAACAGCGCCACCGCCGCCGTTACTCCGCTCAACGACCGGGAGCGCAGTCGAGCCGCGAATGTAGGTTTGGTTGGCGACTTAGGCGGCTGCGCGCCAGAGGAGAAAGTAGCGCTAAGACATTCCCGGTTGGCTTCAGTCCACAAACGCAGGTTCCTGGTGGCTTCGCTACTGCTAACGTTTCCGACTGCGTGGGTGGTGCTATCACGGGCAGAAACGGCGGTACGGTCAATTTGGCTCGCGGCCACGTTACTCTTCCCGTCTCCGTTACCGTTACCATTATCGTGACCCCTGACGTCCGTCGACTCCCGTCCGCCGGCCGTCGCACCTGAAACCGCGGAACCGACACCTGCGGCAGTCGTGGCTAGAGCTGCTCCTAAAACCGATTCGTCTAGCCTTCTCCGAGGCGCCTCGGCATTCGACGTCGCTAACGCAGCAGCTGCTAAGGCGAAATCGTCCCCCCCCGACGGAAACCTCGAGAACCACCTTCGAGAGTTTTTTGAAACGGACGAATTCTCGTTCGCGAGGCGCTTCGAGATGTCTTTCTGGAGGCCCGAGGCGGTGGAGTGGACGGCGTGCAGAAACACGTTGAGCTGCTTCCCCGCGAATTCCGACGAGGAGATTAACTCCGCCAGGTCGCGGTGGAAGCGCTTCAGGTCCGCGGGGCCGCAGCTGGGGAGAGATATGTCGCTCCGCGTCGGCGCTTGCGCCACCTGGAAGGGGGGAGAGGGAAGGGGGAGGAGGGAGCGGAGGAACGGCTTTAGAGGCGCCACAAGAAATAGCGAGGCTACGGCTGGAGAGAGATATGTCGCTCCGCATCAGCGCTTGCGCCACGTGGGGGGTGGGGGAAGAAGGGGGGAGGGTGCGGAGGAGCGGGGAGCGGCGAGAGGGAGCGGAGGCGGGGGGCGTGAGGTTGCGCTGCGCCATGGCGGGGATTTTGTAACAGTGCGACGCGTACCACCATCACCCACGAACCTCCCAGATTATTAGGTGTATCTCTGTGATGCTTCTCCCGCTTTTGTCGCGCAAAACGACTGTTTTTGTCCTGCACTGAGTAAAAAACCCTTCTATGACTACTTTCACTAACTCAAAATTACCTGCGAGAGCACGAGGTTGAGTTGCGCCATAGCGGGGATCTTGTAGCAATGCGCGACGTACCAATCCGCCTTCCACACGTCACCCACCACATCCGCCGCCAGCGACGCGCCGCCAGACACCGATTTCGCTGTTAACGGCGCAGCGCCGGCTACCGGTTTCGCCGCCAGCGTCATGGCAGCGGAAACGGCCGGCTGCGATGGCGACATCGGGATTACCGACATGGAGCTAATCGCAGTGGTGTTAATCGCAGTGGTGCTATCACCGGCGGAGGTGCTGTATCCGCTGTGCTGCTAGAACGTCGTGAAGTTTATTAATTTGTTCTAGGCCGTAGACGAGCTTGCGCTGACGAGGAGAGATGAGAGGCGCGGCGCGTAAATATTCTACGCCATGGAGATATCGCTACCTAAGTAGTGCAGTCAGGTTTGAATCTGGCCATGGAACGCTGACCATTGCCTATGGCGGCTCATAAATACCGAGAGTAACCAATGAGCGTGCTCAATAGAGTTGAGGAATTTTATGGACCGAAACAGGAGACACTGAACATACACGTACTCGAATTTTCTCTACGCGCTGCTCGCAAGGTCGCTGGGACTCAAGAATGGAACGACAACAACTCAAAATGCCAAGTGTGGCTCGCCAGAAAACGCCATGGCTGGAGGCAGCGCAATTGCCATGTTGGGAAGTTGAACCCACAAGCCATGCCCATGGCTGCGCTGGACTAGTGTGGGTGTAGAAGCAGGACAAAGCAGAATGCAAGTCTCTGTCGTTGGGATTGGGACAAGCCTTGCTCCTCGTTCAAGCTGCCATTACCAGGACGATGCTCCGCGGAGGAAGAAAAGAGACCACACAAGAGACTGAGGAAGAAAGGGGACCGGGGGAAGGGATCGGCGGAAGGCTGAGGAGAGATGGGAGAATCGCGGAAGGCTTCGGGAAGTGCGAGGGCCTAGGGATTGCAGAATGTTTGGAGAGTTTGTACAGGGTTGGAGGAGATACCGAGATTCTCGGAAAGGTCTCAAAATGGTTCAGGTGTATTCAAAACGATGGGCGCACAGAATGCGGGGAGGGGTTTAGTTGGGGGAACGAGAAAGGTTTGCGGAACGGAATTACGAGAAGCAGATAGTGGCAGTTGATGGGGGAAGGAGGAGCGGGGGAAGTGATGTGAGCAGCGCATGCTCCCCGCTGCGGGAGAATTGAGAGGTGCGGGGAAGGAGGGGGGAGCAAAAGCGCGTGCAAAAGGGGGGGCTAGATACTCACAACTTTTCTCCTCATTTGGGTAATTAATGAGCAGAGAGTTTTTCGCCCAACTCGCCAATGTTCGCCACGGACAAAACCGGGACAGTAGTAGGCAGGTGTAACCAACGTCTCAAAATATCTCACGAACGGACGGCTACCAGCGTGATAAGGTGGATGTTCAACGGCTGCGATCAAAGAAGAGCCTTATATCGTGCGTCCAACTGGCTGGTACCAAATGTAATTAGGCAGGCTGTCGGTATGAGAAAGACCAAATTTGGGTGCAATCGTTGAGCATTCTGTGTAGGACAATATACGCTGCCCCTACAAGGACCCCAGAGGGGCCAAGCAGCCAATTGGAGAAACGCGTCGCGTCAGAATCAATGAGTGGAGTGGATGTTTCCAATTGGGCAGCCAGAAGGGAAATGCGCAGAGGTAAAAACTGTACTGTACAGTGGAGAACACCCATTAGGTCGCATTTCGGGCACTTCCAAACAACCAACTTCCTAACAAGCGACGGTTTTGCGACTGTGAATCCCCAATCACAGAGCTGCTGCCTCCAACATCATTGGCTGGGCGACTATCCAACTTGTAAGGAAGTCACTTGTTAGGAAGTCCGAAATGCGTTCTCCTCCCGCGCAACAGAAGACACGGCGAGGAGGTTGGAGACAACAGTGCAGGCAAAGAAAGTTGCTTCATGTTTCGTTCGGGCAAACGTTGTAGATTAGTTTCGGGCAGGCAGTTCGAGTGCTAACTAGGGTGGCAGTTATTAAATGAATATACATATTGTACATAAAACCCGGTTATATACTTGGTTTGGCAGATTAACTGTTCTGTTGGCGAGCAGTTGACCCGCCGACACTCAACCGACCAAAACAGAGCTCGCTGATATCGAATCCACAATGGACCAGGGACTGGAGTTATGTATCTAACTTTATCTTGACTCCTCAGTAACAAACGAGTAAACAACTAACATGCAAGTATAGTAAACATTTTTTTTCCAGCTTCTACATGTGTCCTCCCTAATTTCCTAGTTGCTCCCCTCAAAATTGCTTGAGGGGAAACAATACTAGTCTATGTATGCAGCCCTCAGATTAGCAGGCACGTCATAATGTATTCCGTTCAATGGCACATCCAAATCAGACTTGTACATGCTCGCAACAAGACCCAATGCTTTCTGGACACACACAAATACGCGCACACACACAAATGCGCGCGCACACACACAAATGCGCGCGCACACACACAAATGCGCGCGCACACACACAAATGCGCGCGCACACACACACACACACACACACACACACACACACACACACACACACACACACACACACACACACACACACACACACACACACACACACACACATGCAAGCACACACACACACATGCAAGCACACACACACACATACACATTATGAATACCTGAATCAATTGCTCGTGCGGCAAACATGGTTAGATAGGAAAGGCAGCTATGAGGGGTGCAACAGAGAGAACAAGCGAGCAATACTTCAAAACCCAGGGAGACGGAAAAGAGAGGGGGGGGGGGGGGGGGGGGGGGGGGGGGAGGGGGGGGAAAGAGACGATTTATTCAGACGTACCTTGTTATACAGTTTAACGGTTTTGTCGGAAGCGTCTGTCGGGTGTACTCCCCGGCCTATGCTGAACGCATCATTCGCATCCTTGCCGAACCGGCTCAGGACCTCTGCCACGTCATGCTCGTAGTTCTCAAACCGGCCCACATAGTCATACTTAATCCGATGCAGCTCACACACATCAGCCTGCATTGGAAGAAAACAGGGTGATTGAGAGCAATTCACATAATCGTGTCTAATGGCACGGCATGCTCATACTTTTCAAAACAACCCACTCGGCCATTCTTGCTCCTCAACGAGTCAGGAAAGTCAAACCAGTCAACCACTCTCAACCTCTCCCAACCCAACCCCTACCTCGGGCATGATATGCGGGTCCATGATACACCGCTTGTTCTTCTCCATGTGCCACGTCAGCTCCACAAAGTCAGGAAAGTCAAACAAGTCAGATCCATTGTTGCGGTCCAGCAGCTGGCGGTACGGAGCAATGTTGTGGAAGAAGCGCGCGTTCCAGTACTCGCGGTCGTGAGGAGGGCCCCCTCCCACGTGCTTGTTGAGATACGCCGATGGTAACCGCGTGTACGGGTTACGCACGAACGTGAACTTGAAGTAGTCGGGGCGGGTCAGAAACCGGATCACCTGAAGAGGGAGGGATGTGGAGGGTAAAAGGGACAGGTTTCAAACGGTTTCAAGGGGCACCACACCTGTCACCTCCACACACTCACCTCCCACTCCCATTCACATACCTCTCTCTCTCCTGCATGTCGAATTACCAGCAGCTTCAGCCCCGAGTGCTTTGGGTCGTGTGCGATCCACGCATCACTAGCGTTGGGGCAGCGGTGGTGGTGGTGCTGCTGCTGCTGCATACCTTTTGGCTCCACTCTTAACCCATTCACGCACCTCTTTCTCCTGCATGTCAAATGCCAGCAGCTTCAGCCCCGAGTGGAGGAGATCGTGCGCAATCCCAACGCACACACACTTCCCTTTCCCTAAGTCACTCACATGACAATTCTTTCACACACCTCTCTCTCCTGCATGTCGAATGCCAGCAGTTTCAGCCCCGAGTGCTTCGGATCGTGGACGATCCACGCATCGGTGGCGCTGGGGCTGTGGTGGTGGTGCTGCTGCTGCTACTACATACCTTTGACACCACTCTTAACCCCTCCACATACCTCTCTTTCCTGCATGTCAAGTGCTTTGGGTCGTGGGCGATCCACGCATCGGTGGTGTTGGGGCGGTTCTGCTGCTGCTGCATACCTTGCACACCAAACGTTACACGAAACAAAACCATACCTCTCAACCCCTCCACATACCTCTCTTTCCTGCATGTCGAATGCCAGCAGCTTCAGCCCCGAGTGCTTTGGGTCGTGGGCGATCCACGCATCGGTGGCGTTGGGGCGGTTTTGCTGCTGCCGGAACCACACTTTCCACCCCGTACACCCTGCCTTGGGCACAAAGCAGTATACTGTCTTGAGTTGCTCTGTAACGAGTACAGGAAGGGAAGGTGGGAGGGAGAGAAGGGGAGGGGGGAGGGGGCGTTGGGGCGGCGTCGCTGCTGGGAGAACCACACCTCCCACCCCGTGCACCCCGCCTTGGGCACAAAGCCATACACTGTCTTGAGTGACTCTGTAACGGGGACAGCACACACAAGTGAGATAGTGCTTCTTGGTTTCTCAAGGCGTGGTCTCTAACGATTGTACATGCATACCTAGCATCCACCACTCAACTCACCATCCACGAGGAACTGCTGCAGGTAGCGTCGGTTGACAAAGGGCGTGGGGGCGCGCGAGTCACACACGCTGGAATGCACCTTCAACGGGACCACCCCACTCGCACTCGCACCACCCCCCTCCTCTGTTGCCGCCGCTCCCCCCTCTGCTCCCTCCTCCGCCGCTCCCCCCTCAGCTCCCTCTGCCGCTCCTCCGCTTCCCCTCTCCCCGGACTGTTGAGACGTCTCAAAACTCGGCCTCCTCCCTTCCCTCTCCAGCCCCATGATTTGCCTGGCAGTGCCGGCGGTAGCCTGGGCTGTGAAGAATCGGGCCTCGAGGGACGCGCGGGTGTGGATGAGCGCCGCTGCTGCCGACACCACCCACGCCTCCGCCACCTGCAGCTGCGCGCAGCTCCACTCGCCACTCTCCACGCGCCCTTTCAGCATCCCCATCACCATCTCTGCTTGCACTGCTTCCGCACTTGGTTTTTCCGTGCTCACTGCTTCCGCACTCACTGCTTCTGCACTCGGTGCCTCCACGCTCAGAGCCCCGCTCTCCCCCTCTCCGCCCTCCCCCTCTCCGCCACCCCCCTCGCGCCCCTTGAGCATGCTCAGTGCCATGTCCGCTTGCACTGCTTCTGCGCTCTCTGAGTCGTCCCTACTGCTCTCGCTTCTCTTCTCCTCGCCG